CAGGAAGTTCAAGCAGGGCTCGTGCTCCTGGTAGATCTCCAACCCTCCCCAACTCCCTCTTTTTGGCTTCTGCCAAGCCCAGCACCAATGCCGTCTGGTGCACACTGGCCTCTGCCACCGGGCCTGGCAGCGGCAGGGAACACAGGATCACCTGGCAGTGGGGAGGGAGAGAGAGAAGGGGGAGGCTTCCAGCAGAAAGGGGGGCGCGCAAGGTTGGTGCTTTTGAGACGAGGGGAGGGGAGGCCGGGCGTGACAAGGAGAAGTGGGAAGGGTCGAGACAGGGCCAGGCATGGTGAGAAGAGACTCGACATGAGTGATGTCGAGTTGGCCATGCCCACCCAGTCACATGACCACCCAGCCATACCTCCCCAGCCGGTCATTAGGGCAGAGAACCAGTTTTTAAATTATTTGAATCCCACCACTGGTGTGCTGAATGATGTATGTGCATGTGTGTGCAGGTGAGTGCTTTGGAGAAGGAAGTGAACTTTGGTTGCAAATAAATGAAGAAGTTTCTCAGCATCCCAAACAGCCTTGATCTGGCTCTACTCAATTCAGTGATCATTTGGACTGTGAATATGGAGGGTTGGGGAAAGACCCAATTAAAAAAAGCCTCCAGGATTTGCAGAATAGCCATTGGTTGTCAATGTGCAAGAAACACTGCTGTCTATTTTTGATGGGAAGATTTACCGAAGGTTGGGGCACAATACACTCTTTCAGTTCAAATGCAAATACTTCGGGAGCAAAACTATTCAGATAAAGGGCACCTCTGCATTATTAATGCATTCGGCCAGGAGGGAAGCTCGGGTTGCAACCTGAGATCACTGCTGAGGGCTGGAAAGTGGTCTTCATTCCATGTTTTCTTATTTTAACCTTTGGAATCTTATCCTTATTTACGCAGATTAAAGTACAAACGTGATTGGCTACCATTCCTTCCTGAGCAAGTTGCGCAGGAATTCATTCATTTTAATGGTTAGAATCAGTGGTGGGATTCAGCCGGTTCGCACCTATTCGGGAGAACTGGTTGCTAACTTTCTAAGCAGTTTGGAGAACCTGTTGTTGGAAGAAATCTTTTTTCCCACCTTACAGGGCTAATCTTGTAAGGAAGGCAGGAAGGAAATATTCTGGTGTTGCTTCTAGCCTAATCCTTAATGTCCTGCTTACAGAAACTGCCTCTTTAGTTAACCCTTATTACATTGTAACAGCTAAGGTGAAGCGCCCATCGACCTGAGTGACATTGAGTTGGCCACCCCCATATGGTCACATGACCACTGAGCCATGCCTATCCAACTGGTCATTAGGGCAAAGAGTATGGATTACCCATCCGGATTACCCAAACCAGTTTGGCTGAGTGGTTAAGGCATCAGGCTAGAAACTAGGAGACCGTGAGTTCTAGTTCTTGGCTGGGTGACCTTAGGTCACTCAATCTCTCTCTCAGCCCAACCTACAGCACAGGGCTGTTGTTGGGGGGGAAAGTAGGAGGAGGAAGGAGCATTAGTTATGTTCACCGCCTTGAGTTATTCATTAAAAGGGAGGGAGAGAGGGATGGAGGAATGGAGGGAGGGAGGGAGGGAGGG